CAGCTGTCCACTGAGGACTGGTCTGCAGCTCACACTGTACAGGCCACTGAGTGGTCATGAGCTGTTCTGCAGACATGTGAACAAAGAGAGAGAAGGGGAGGAAAATAGTGTCTAAAAGCTGAGATACACACCACACACACGCACACGCACACGCACACGCACACGTATACATACCCACTGAGGCATGGCGACCTACCAGTGGCCGCTCCTCAAAGAAAAGTGACTCTTCCTCCCCCAGCAGTTATCAGCTGCCAGTAACTCCTTATCTTCCCCGATACACCCATAAAATGTACTTTCATCAAATCTATCCCCTATTCCCTCATTTCCAAAATTTCCCCTATACTTCTCCCACTCCTTTTTTTTACTCACCCGGTAATTCTTTTTTTAAACTCACCCGGTCCACGTACTGCTGCCTGTGTGTGCATGGGTGTAGCGCCATCTGCTGGAACATGAGTAGTCTCTGGGGCCACATCCTCTCCTTCAGTGGCCAATAGTTCTTCACATACATGGGGGATTATGTAACCCGCCCTCGCTCATCCATGCTGGGATTTGTTTTATCTTTTACTCACAGATTTATTCTATTTAACTTCCAGGTCCGTACATATAGACCAAATCTGTTATTTTTAAAATACTCTGTTTAGCTTTTTAAAGTTTTTAGCCAGTTATCACCTAATCACACTACCAATGGGATGTTTCACTCATTTCCTATTTTTGTCACTGCGAATATTAACATATACTGATGCCTTAGCACTTTAAAATGTTCAATAAACTCATCAACATGACACCGATATATGAAAGGATAAGTCATTCTAATTTCAGCAGACATTGCTGTCTTTCTCAAAAGAATGAGGCTATTATATCCTTCCAGCTCTTTGTGTGTGTGTGTGTGTGTGTGTGCATGTGTATTTGTATGTATGCATGTCTGTGTGTATATAATGTGTGGAGGTGTCTGTGTGTGTATTTGTATGTATGTATGTCTGTGGGGGGTGGTTGTGTCTTCGTGTGTGTGTATGTGTGTGTGTGTGTGTGTGTGTGTGTGTGTGTGTGTGTGTGTGTGTGTGTATGTTCACTGCCATTTCTTGAACCATCCATTCCGATATTTGGTGTTATTGATTTTTTTAAAAAATATTTCCCAGTCTTATTGAATGAAAATATGACTTCATATAATGTTTTTGTTTTGTTTTATTTTTGAGATGGGAGTCTCATTATGTAGCCTTGGGTAGACTGGAACTTGCTATGTAGACCAGGCTAGCCTGGAACTCACAGACATTTTCTTGCCTCTGCTTGGGAGTGCTGGGACTTACCAGTGTGTGGCTTAACCTTTTCTTGTGTGTGTGATTTGCTGTTTCTCTTTTTCAGATTTTCTGTTGATATCCTTGATCTATTTTATGCTAGATGATTTCTCTTTATCTTACTCTTTTAAAATGACATCAATCCTCTGTCTTTCATGGTTTTAAAAAGATTTGTTTTTATTGGATGTATGAATGCTGTGCTTGCATGCACATATGTGTACCAGGTACATGCCTGGTGCCTATGGAGGTCAGAAGAGGGCATTGGAGCCCCTGGAACTGGAGTTAGAGCTGGTTGTGAGCCCCTGACATGGATGCTGGAAACTGAATTCGGGTCCTTAAGTGCTATAAACCAATAAGCCAGCTCTAGCTCTAGCTAGTTTTGATATGATTGGTAACTGAAATGTTTGAAAAGCATTCTTTGGGAAGCTAAATTAGTCTTGTTTTTAGAGACTCTTCAATATTAAAGAAATTAAAATGATACAATTTGATTTAATCTCTAAAAGGTCAAGGCCAGTCTATGGGGACTCACTCAGTGGTTCAGAGTGCTTGCTCCTCTAGCAGAGGACCAGAGTTTGGCTCCCAGCACCGATGTTGAGCAGCTAGGAGCACCTGTAACTCGAGTTCCAGAAGATCCCACACCCTTTCTGGTCTCTGCAGGCACCCACACTTGTGCATAGTCCCCCCACTCCCCACATATTCATGTGTAATTACAGATAAAGTAAATGTTTCTTAACAAGAGAAGACCACTTAAAAAATAACCAAATGCTGTTTTTCTGCCTGAGGAAACTGTTAAGGGATAACTCTTTCCCTCCATTTTTAAAAGTTGAAAACAAATTTTTCATATAGTATATTTTATATACTATATTCATATTACTATACACACACACAAAACCCATAAAAACAGAAAATAGGAAACCATAATATACAAGCAAAAGACCAGTAAGATTGGAGAGAGAGAGAGAGAGAGAGAGAGAGAGAGAGAGAGAGAGAGGACAACCTTTTAAACTTGTAAATTAAAAAATTTTAAAAAGTACCATGAAGCTGGGTGCAGTGATGACAGGTGTAATCAGCACTGGGAAGCCACAGCAAGAGAAGTAAGGCAGTAGCTTGATCTGCACGTGATGTTGCAGACCAGGCAGGCTGCACAGTAAGACCCTTTCTCTACAAACAACCCTGTAGCTGTCCGTCCACTTAACCGTGTTAGCTGTTGCAAGTACTTTCAAATTCAGCAGGGGGCACTGTTGGAAAACTTGTTCCAGTGAAGAGGTCCGGATTTGTCTAGTCTACCTGTATTGTTGCTTTTTAAAAAGTTTTGGGCCAGGGAGATGACTTGGTGGCTTAAAGTGTCTGCTGGGCAAGCATAAGGACCTGAGTTTAGATTTCTAGCATCCGTATGAAAGCCGAGCACGGCAGTGCACATCCCTAACCCCACACCGAGGGCTGGAGACACTTGTAGTGCTTGGGCTCACTGGCCAGCCTCTAGCCAATATGTCAAGATTCGAGTTCGGTGAGAGACCCCACACTCAAAACAGGTAAAGAAAAGGAAGCCAGAGGCCCTGGATTTGAGAGCAAGGTCGTACATAGGAGGAGGTGGAGGGAGAAACAAGAAAGGGAAAATGATGGAATTATATTTTAATTTTTAAAATAAGGAAGGAAAGATACCTAACTAACGTCAGTGTCTGTCCTCCACACTCACATCAACAGGCAAACACGCTCACAAATGAAGTTGAGAGCCAGACACATCTGAACAGAACCTAACAATTTTGCTCAATATGTATTTGTTTGCAGAGGGTTTTTTTTGTTTGTTTGTTTTTAAGTAAAGTGGTATTAGTGTTCTTTGAACTAAACTCTTCTATAAATAAAAATAATGTACCATAAATGGATACAGATTAGAATGTCTTAAAGTTCTTTCATACATATTTTTAAAGATTTATTATTATTATTATTATTATTATTATTATTATTATGTTTTTTTGAGACAGGATTTCTTTGTATAGTCCTGGCTGTCCTGAAACTCACTCTGTAGACCAGGTCGGCCTTGAACTCAGAGATCCACCTGCTTCTGCCTCCCGAGTGCTGGGATTAAAGGCGTGCGCCACCACCGCCTGGCTACTTTCGTTATTTTTAGTTTTGTGTATGTGTCTGTGTGAGGGTGTATGCATGTGAGAGCCAGAGGTGTTGGATCCCGTGGCACTGGAGTTGCAGGGGGTTGTGAGCCACCCAACATGGGAGCTGGGAACTGAACTCTTTCCAAGAGCAAACAGTCATGCCACTATTACCCAGTGGGCACAGCTTGCCCAGCAGGTAGATATTGTAGCTTGTAAGTTTCACAGCTGCATAAGACTGTTATAGTGACATCTTCCCTCCAGCAGCCAGAGTGATACCGTCCAGTACTGAGAAAGGCAGCAGGAAGCAGCTTAGGGCCAGCTTGAGTTCTCCATGTTCTGCAAGGAAAATGTGTGATGTCCTCAGCCATGGGGCTTTATCATATAGTTCTGAGGAATGATAAGAGCAATGACATTAGCCTGTCCTGGTGATCTCCAGCCCCTTCCCTCCCCCAGCCAACAGTTCACAGGGATGTGTCTCACACCTGGCACCACTAGGAATTCCATTTAGTAACTTACGACTTTGGGGCCAAGACACCCTTTTTATTTAAAGACAGGGCCTGGCTATGTAGCCCCAGCTGGCCTGGAACTCACAATGATTCTACCTGCCTCTGTGTGCTTTATGAAAGGCTTATGCCACCACATTGGGCCCAAGACACTCTGTTAAGTCTTCTCCTTTAGATAGAAATATTAATTTTTTTAAAAAAGTAACTCAGTGTTAGGTGAACAGCATGTTTTGTTTTTTTTCTTGGAATCATATACTGAAGGAACATTTTGGAAAATGAACTTCACATATTTAAAAGCAGTGTGAAACTATTGTAAATGTAATGGGGATATCTGCTGAATTAATCTCTGATATTTGATTTGCATCGATTCTAATTAAATTAGTGCTTCTCTTGATTGAGTGGCTCACCTGCAATCACATGTAGAATATTTTAAAGGGGGGTTTAAGGAATCTGATCTCAAAGTGCCATGCTAGCGCTGGTCTTGGTAAAATCTTGCTGTTGCTCATAATAGTGGGTGGGTTACAGAATGTAGTGGGTCAGAGCATAGCCCAGTCTTTTTGAAGTTGTCTTTGAATGGTGTGATATTTGCTCTTTTGTGGGAGACAGAAATCCTTGTTTAAAACTCACTGAGCAAGTTTGTGTATAGTTACAGTTTTAAATGGGGAGGCATTTGGAAGTCAGCAATGAGACATACAGTCTTAGAAGCTATTTAAAGATACAAATATGATGCTGTTCAAGTTTGTGGAAACATGTAGTAATTACAACCAAATATGGAAATACATATTACTGTGGTATTTAATATTAATCATCAATTTTCTTTCTTGGCATAAAAAACAAAATGGGGCTGATTATTTTAGTACTAAATTATGAACGCACTAAATGAATTTATCCCATTATAATTGGACTGCCTTTTCTCTCTCCTTCGCCATTGAGTTCTAATAAACCAGTGAGGGGGATGAATCTAAATTTAGTTTGTGATCTCTTGTCATTTAAATTTTTTTACAGTTTTATTTTATTAAAGCGGTGGTTCTTTTTGTTTAATCTTACGTTTCTGATTTAATAAGTGATGCATAGATGGTTATTTGTGTTGTTTTCAGCTGACTACCTAGCTCAAGCATTTGATTCCCTTTGTTTGGACTTGAAGACAGATGAAGGAAAAGCCTTATTTTTGGAGTACCAAGCTGTTCCAGTAATACTGAGACACCTGAGGATTTCCAGCAAAGGGCTCTTATCCAACGTCATTGATAGTCTGCTTCAGATGACAGTAGAATCACGTACGTTTTTATGTTTTATGTATGTAAAGAAATGATGCTTTCATTCCCTCCTAATCCCTTGTTAACTCCACATACCAGCCACTATTTCAGCTTTTAAATGGTGGCTATTTTGAAAAGTTATTAGTTAGGTCAGCACACAGAATGAGAGGTTTCATTGTGGCTTCTTGATATAAATGTGTCATACTTTGTTGTTGTGTGTTCCCCCCCATGGCCTCCTCTCTGCCTCTTCCTCCAGCTGGCTCCTATGTTCCTGCAGTTAGTCCTCTTTTGTACCCTCCTATCACGTGTCTGCTGCTGTCTTTGCCATATCACACATCCCTTAAGAGCTCTTCCTCCCCTCTTAGATCCCTTCTCTAGTTAAGTATCCTGCAAATAAGACATGTGGATATAGCTACATACATATGTATATAATCTAAAGTTTAAGTTCCTTGTATGAGAAATAATGTAATATTTGTCTCTGAGTCTGGCTTATTTCACATAATTCTGTTTGCATATATTTTCTGAAAATGTCATGATTTTGTTTTTCTTTATGTAAAAAATTCCTGTGTGTGTGTGTGTGTGTGTGTGTGTGTGTGTGTGTGTGTGTGCATGCACGTATATGTACCACATTTTCTTTTTTCCTTTTTAAACAGACAAATAGGCTTTAGGCTGGTATTTTCTTTTTTCTTTTTCTTTTTTAATTAATTTATTTGTTTTACATCCTGATTGCAGTTTCCTCTCCTCCCAGCCCCTCCCCCCACTGTCCTCTGCTCCCACTCCCCAATCCACTCCTCATTTTCTGTTTAGGAAAGGGCAGGTCTCCCATGAGTATCAACAAAACATGGCATATCAAGTTGCAATAAGACTAAGCACCTTCCCATGCATTAAGGCTGGGCACGGAGACCAGGGTGAGGAAAAGGGTCCCAAAAGCCAGTAAAAGAGTCAGAGACAGCCCCTGCTGCCACTGTTAGGAGTCCCACAGGAGGACCAAGCTACACAACTGTCACATGTATACAGAGGATCTAGGGCAGTCCCATGCAGGCCCCTGGTTGTCTGTTCAGGCTCTGTGAGCCCCTATGAGCCTAGGTTAGTTGACCTGTGAGTTTTCTTGTCTCCTTGACCCCTTTGGCTCCTACAATCCTTTTTCTCCCACTTCTGCAGGATTCCCCAAGCTCCGCCTAGTGTTTGGCTGTGCAGTTTCCACCAGTTGCTGGGTGAAGCCTCTCTGACGACAGTTGGGCTAGGCACCTATGTGTGTAGCAGGATACCGTTAGGCATCATCACACTGACATTTTATTTCCTCCAGTCCTGTTTGGTTCTATCCTAGGTCTCTGGGCCATCCAGCCTGTGGACCGCATTTTCTTTATTAACTCATTTGTTGATGGACATCAAGGGCTGCTTCCATTTCCTGGCCATGGTGAATAGTACAGCTCTAAACAGGGAGGCACAAACATCTCTGTGGTGTGTTGACTTAGTACTGTAGATGGGTGATAGGGTGGTTCTATATTCAGGTTTTGGGGGGATTTCCATACTGACTTCCACAGTGGCTGCACAAGTTTCTCAGGGTTTTCAAATTCCTGGCATGTTGCTCTTTGAGATCCAGGGACAATAAATCAGTATCTCAGGAATTCTCAGAAATTTCCAAATTATGATGACTTTACACATCCTACTTCACTCTGTTAATTGGATAGCTAAAATTCATATTTAAAGAATAAAATACATAAAGTGGAGCAATATTTACCAAGAACTGCATCCTACAGGAGTATTCAGACAATAAAAAATATAATTTAAAACTCATATCTCACAGTCAAGTGACAGCCTCTCATGGAATCACAAAATGGCCACTGCCCACTGACGGATATATTTTATACTGAGAATGTGTTATGCTTCGAGAGAACATTCAATGGACTTACTTGCATATAATAAATATGTGAACTCATTAGTGAGCATTTTCTTCATTATTCTTGTTCCCCTTTCTAAATGTTATACCCACATGTATATTTGTTTTTATGTACACATTGTACACATGATGGGCTGGCATCCACAATATAGGGAGAACATGTGTTTGTTTTATTGATGGATTTTTCGTCCTGAATTTGGATGAACTTGATTAATATTATGTGTTATAAATCCATCCATTTTCCTGCAAATTTTGTGATTTTGTTTTTCTTTAGAGCTTTTTAGAGGTTTTTATTATAGTTCATTCACTTCTTGAAGGACACCTAAGTTGTCTCCACTTCCTTCCTGTATTGAGTAGAGCAGCAGTGAACATGGAATGCAGATATCTCTACCATAGGATAAAGAGTTCTCTGTGTAAATGCCCAAGAGAACAATAGCTGTATCATATGATAGTGCTGTTTCTAGTTTGCTGAGGAGCCGCCAGGCTGATTTCCATCAGGGTTGCATTAACTTGCACTCCTGCCAGTGGTGAATAGGGGTTTTTCTTTCTCCTCATCCTCTCTGATATTTGTTGTCAGATTTCGTGAGGACAGCCACTGTGCCTGGGATGGGCTATTATCTCAAAGCATTTACCTGATGACTAGGAATGGTGAACATTTTTTAATGGTTACTGGCCATTCCTGTGTGTGTGTGTGTGTGTGTGTGTGTGTGTGTGTGTGTGTGTGTGTGTGTGTGTAACTTGCTGCAATTCATTACCCTATTTGTTGATTTGCAGTTTTATTGCCTAGGTATCTAATTTCTACAGTTCTTTGTAAATTCTGGTTATTCGCCCCTTGTCTGAAGTGTACATGGGAAAGATTTTCTCCCATTCCGTGGGCTGTCTGTGTGCTCCGCTGACAGTTTCCTCCGCCGAGCAGAGACTTTACTTTCATGTAGTCCCATCTGTTGATGTTTGCAGCTGGCTTTTGTGCTAGTGAAGTTCTGTCCAGAGAGTGCTTGCCCACCTCGGTGTCTTGAAGACTATTCCCTCTGTTTTTAATCTAGACGTTTCAGCTTTTGTTTTTCTGATTTTTCACTAGTTTTTTGAGAATTTGTACAATGTGTTTTGTGCTTTGATCATTTTCACTGTCTTCGCCCAGCTCTTCTCAGATCCACCCTGTCTTTCCTGTCCACCCCAGTTTGTTTTCTTTTTCTCCCGTCAAGTCCAATTGGTGCTGCCCAACTGTTCTTGAATATGTGGTCTTCCCCTGGAACGTGCTTGACTTACCAGAGCTTACAATTCCCAGGGGAAATGGACTCTCGGCAGCTAACAGTTCCTAATAGCTCCATGGCTAGGGGTAGGGTTCTCTACCCAACTCCCCTCTCCATGCTGGGCTTTGGTTTGGGTTGGGCTTCTACGGGGCTGTGTATGCTGTCACAAATGTTGTGAGTTAATATGTGCAGCTGCCCTGCTGTGTCCAAAGGATACCATTTCCTTAGAGCCATCCACTGCCTCTGGCACTTACGCTGTTTCCTTCTCCTCTGCTTCAGTGATCCTGAGCCTTGTGAGCAGGGGTGCAGTATATGTGTTCTATTTAGGGCTGAGCGTTCTGCAGTCTCTTACTTTCTATCCCTTGGCCAGTTGTGGGTCTCTGGGTTAATGATAGTCTAGTACAAACAAAAGCTTATGATAAATTGTTAGGAATCAGTTGAACACTATGTCTATTTAGCAGAATAATAGTAGTAGGGTCCTCCCTAGATCCTGTGTCCTGTGTAGCCATAGGTTCTTAGCCTGATAATGATGGCAGGTATGACTTTCATTTTGTAGAGTGGAACTTAAATCCCATTAGAAAGTGGTTGGTAAAGAAATACTTACAGAAATAAGGATGGCCCAATAACCAGAAAGCCTGTCCTAGCACAGGTGATGATGACGTAAAACAGTTGCATCCATGAAACTCAATACACAACTTGCAAGCAGCTCCATGAGGAGCGGGGTTAGGGAGGTGACGCAGGAGCCCTTCGCCTCCCTGCAGAGGGAGTGTTTCTATTTAGAGAAAATAGTTCTCCATTGCTCCCAGAGAGCCCTTTCCTTTTTCTACCAGGCGATTTCTGTTTCCCTGGCTTTACTTGCGGTTTTAGATTTTGTTGCTTCAGTAGTTTACTTTAATCAATACAGTCTCAAGATAGTAACATACAAGCCTTCCAAGTTGTGTTTATAGATTTAAAAAGCAAGAGAATGCAAAGCTATCATGGTTTTATATCTTTTATGGGAAATAACTTACTTGCATTTAGAAAAAAAGCCATTTGCAGAGGCTTTTTACTAAAGAGCGAATTGTTTTAGAGGCCACAGTTTGACATTTTATGACTTTTTTCCCTCAATCTTTCCTAACTAGCCAGTACCAGCAACTTATGCTCTAAAAGAATATTCATGTATTATCCTACAATAAACACAATCAATGAAATATGGCTTCTTACCTTTGTATGCCTCTCCATTGGATGGTTCTTAGAGGCACAGTTACTAGGTAATAGGATATGTGCATTTAAGGCTTTTGGTAACAAATTTGGGAAATTTCTATTATTTCATTCTTAATGAGATTGAATATAGTATGTTCTCATATAATTGGGGTTAGTTGTGTTTATTTGTAAAAATACTAGCTACACCTTTCCTAGTTGATTTATAAGAATTCATAGTAATGGTGTTAGTCTTAAGGCAAATATATGAAAAGTCATCTTTTCTTTTCTCTCTTCTATGTTTGTAATTTCTCTTTTGATTATTTTAATTTTTTCAATTTCACTTTTAATTTTTCAAATAAAAATCATTTTATGTGAACACTTCAATTTAAAAAAAATATTCACTTTGTTTTTTGGAATTATAATTACATCATGCCCCCTTCCCTTTACTCCTTCCCAACCCTCCCATGTACTACCCTTCCTTGTTCTCTTTCAGATTCAATGCCTGTTTTTCATTAAATATGTATGTAAATAAACACACACACAAATATACACCTAACTACATGAATATGACCTATTCAGTCTGTTTAATGTTACATGTACACATATGTTTTCAGGGCTGACCATTGATATTGAATAACCAGTTGATGGGGGCTCTTCCCTGGAAAAGACAGCTTCTCCCACGCTCAGCATTCTTAGTTGCCTGTAGTTCTTTGTGTACGGTTGAAGCTCATGGCCTCGCCCCCTTCCTCCATGTGAGCATGTATGTTGTTGTCCTTGTTCAGCTCATGTTGAGGCAGTCATGTTGGTGAGGCTTCAGCTTCTGACATCCTGGGACACACAGTCTCACAGCAAACTCCTTGATCCTCTCTCTGTTCTTACCATCTTTCTGACTGCTTTTCCACGATGATCCCTTAAAATTTTTATCCTTAAGTTTTCAATCTATTATGAACCTGCCATTCTTTAGCTTTTATGCGCAAAGTGTTCTTTCTTATCTAGTACTCAGAGTTGTTACTGGGGTTTTAAAGAAAACTAATGTACTGCTTCAGTGGAACTTCTTATT